CTGCTTCCCCGATATGAGGACCGATGCCCATGAATAACAAAGTGAGGAAGGGAATAAGAAGAAGGGAGAAAGTAATCCGCGAAAAAAAAAGTCTGTGCTACAAAGTAATATTCAAATCAAACCCCTCTCGAGAACCGAAAAAAACAACCCGCCCGAGTGTACTGGCGTCGGTCGGAGGGGATCATTTCACTATGAAGAAACGAAGAATAACAAGTGGCCCTCATGCCGTTTCCTTTCCCTTTCCCTTTCCCTCTGAGACATTCCATCGTAAAACCATGCGGCGAAAAATCGAACGAACAAACAAACAAGCATAAAAGGGCGGAGAGCAGTTTGAGATGTGCCCTCTACCCCTGAGATCCAGATACAAACGCCACTTTATATTTTTTTTGGACCATTCCCTATAACGCCACGTTCCGTCATATATCATGTGCATATTGAACCTTCCGTGCTTCGCAGCCCCCGGGGGTCAAATGAGATAATAACTCATGAGGGCCACCTATTCTGCGTGGTTCGGCCGACATTCGAAGAGGGCAAATAACTATTGTTCATCCCCGTGGCTGAGGAATAGAGGGATGCCGCGCTCGAGCCGGTTGTTCGCTGTTGCGAAGGCACGCCGCTACTTAGCCCGTACGAACCGGTACTGAGTCCTAAGCCGCCATGGTTATTACCAGAATCTAAGGTCTGGAGTTCTAGGAAGCTCGAGTCGAAAGCTGGCGTAAAGGTTGAGGGCATCGTAGGATGTGATGTACCATGAGTCGTGGTTGGAGTCTGGCGCGCGCCGAAATGGGGCGAGTGGTTTGAAACACCGTGACTCGTGGCACCTCCTGCACGATAGTTGCTATCGAGGGGCGACGCCGAGGGTGTTCGACGCGGTGGATATCCAGTACTACTATGAACAAGTGACGGTGACCCCCTATAGTTAGTGTCCCCTTGCATGAGCGGTGAGTTTGACTGTGCGCCAAACTGAGGAGAATTAGTCATATGCTGTACAAGACCTGTTCCAGGAGATCCTGTAGCCATATGCTGAGGCTGACGTTGACTCGTAGAGTACGTGGGCGTTTGCGTATTGTAGGACGAACTAAGAGCCTGTGTTTGGTAGTAATTTTGAGACGGTCTAGCCTGCTGGTGGGAAGCTAATGTAGATGGCATCTGGGGAGCCTTCGAAGTCTGTGAAGAGATAGGGGAGGCCGTTTGGGCATTCTGTTGTTGCATCTGTTGACGATTGGCAGTCTGTTGCCTTGCGTTATCCTGGCGATTTTGGAGTGCTGTGAAACGTTCGTAGTGAGCTTCCAGCCCCTCTGCGGGAGTCGGAGAGGTTGTACTACCAATTGATGCCGTTGTCTGATGCTGCTGTGGCTTCTGAGGGCGATTGGTGTTGTTCTGCACTTGGTCACTGCGGTTCTGTAGCGCAGCTATCCGTTCGTAATGAGCTTCGAGACCTTCGGCCTGCGTATGGCTTTGAGAAGGAGCGGTGACTTGGCCGGATTGCCGGGTTTGATCCAGGTTGACCGCTGCAGACGATGCAGGATTTTTATTCCCTATATTATTTGGAGTCGAGCGTTTTGCTGCTTGTAGAGATCCCGACTCCTGGGACTTACGTGGTCGCTTCGTAGACGACGTAGTATTGGTGTTCATTGATGTCTGCTGAATAGACTGGACGGCTGAGGGCTGCGTTTGAGAAATCGGAGCTGAAGTTGCCTGAGAAAGGCCAGACTGTGCTTGCTGGGTAATTACATTGCTTCCGGCAACGCCGTCAGAGGCTCCGTCAGTTTGAGGGTTGACAGTACCGGTGGGGGCAGACTGACGCTTCCGCTTTTTCCCAACTATAGATGACTCCTTAACTTGTGGGGTGGGCACCTGGCTGTTAGATATAGCAGGCGGAGGTAACAGCTGGGCTCGCTGATCGTTCTGAGAAGCAACACTATCCGTGATAGAGGATGTGGTAGTGCCACCTGTAAACGAGGGACCAGCAACGGCGTGCTGGCTAATTTGCTGATTCGGTAGATCAGCCGTCTGCTGCTGCTGAGATATAGTGCCATCTTGACCTATGGACTCGCCGGCGGCCTTAGGGCGATTCTTAGAACCCTTTGGTCGTCCCGAATTTTGTTTCTTTCTGGGTTGCTCGCCGAGCATGTGTATTGGTACTGGTACGGGGGTCACCTTTGGTGGTACTGGGAGCGTCGAGACATGATCGGCTTGAATAGGGGGAGCATTCGCATTTGCAGATGTGGAATCAGCCGGTTGACCAGCTTGCTGCGCACCAGACATGTCCTTAGGTCGATTTTTAGAGCCCTTCGGGCGTCCACGCCGTTTCGCACTAGACCCAGGCGCAAGTATCGCAGTCGCATCGTTGATAGACTTAAACCCACCAGTCGAACCCATGATCGAGGTATTGCTGAACTGGCCCCCGCCCTGAAGTTGCGGGGGTGTATTCGGAGCATTCTCCGATGGCCCCTCAACCTCGACTAGATCGTCGTCTCCGTTCAATTCCAGGACGCTATCCTCTACATCCACCCAGCTGTCATCTTGAGCTTCTTGGGATCGGTTTGCGGTTCCCTTAGTACCCTTCTTGATACCCTTGTCACTCCGAGACTTGCTGGCTTTGCTGCCCTTCGGACGCCCCCTAGGCCGTCGCTGATTCACAGACTGCGCAGATGGGAAGGATGCCCGCCTTCGAGGTTCTTTAAGATTAGGAAATATCTCAGCAATCCACCCGACAAATAAAGAGCCGGAACCGTTTGATTCTGCGCTTTCGGGGAATTTGCCGTCAGCAGGAGGCGGAGCCTCCGGGATGCCGCCAAAGAATGCCAGTGCCTTACATAATTGATCAACTACGGTGTGAGGGGGGAGAGTTCTTAAAAGCGTCAATAATCGAGCCTGTTCAGTTTTTGTTTCGGTGATAGTGAGAGGGCTAGCTGTCTCGGGCACGGACACGGGCACGGGCCCTGGCACTATTTCAGCGACAGGCTCTATAGAAGCAGACTTCTTCGGGGATGTAAATTGTTTTAATCCAGGTGGCCGGGGGTAGTTCGCTCGTCGTTGGTGAGATACGTAGCTATCGGTCTGGGCCAATTTGGCTTGCAGAGCCGTGCTTTCACTCGTGCGCTTCGCGGCGGCATCACGACCTTCGCTTGCGCGATGACTAGCAACATCCATGTGCATTACACTGAAGTTCCCCTTCATCTGCTCCGTGACGTCTTTAAGCTTGCTCGGGACCGGATTTCTAACGCGTCCATCTCGAGGATACTGTCTCAAATCTGCATGCATAGAGCCATCATTGGATAACGTAGAAGATAGGATGCCATTGGTGCCGCCGTTAATAGTAGGAGCGGTCAAAGATGACGACGGTGCGGTTAGGCCGGGCGTAGGAGATTCAGAGTGCGGCTGGATATTGGTACTCGAGGCCCTGGCAGCAATAGAAGGTGGATTGTTGTTTGCCAAATTGGCTGGTTGTTGGCCTGTGACTTTCGAGTTAGGTAGAGACACGAGAGGGAGGGGAGGGGAAAGCGGCGTACTGGATGTGGTAGCCATTTGGTTGGATCAATACCAACCATGACAAGGAGAAGATTACTACGCGAGTTCTTGTCTTGTCGGCTACGCGACGAAAATCGAACTTATCACTGGCAGCTGAGTATGGACCAGTTGGTGGGATTCCATGCTCATCAACTCATCAACCGCAGACGGAGATATATGAACTACCAGCGCGTCATTGCGAGTAGTCTATGCGACACCGCGATCAGCCGTAGGAATAGAATGGGTCAATGGGTCGAATGCGCCGAAAAGTTTTATATTGAGACTACCAGGCGATAGACACAGAAGTAGCAACAATAATGATATTGTTAATAATAATAGTGGTAAGTGGTAATTTGAAGGTTGTAGTAGATACTGGCTACACTAATAAAGGTTAGAAGTCGGGGCGGCGAATACGGTGCAGATTAAGTTTTGGACGCTGATGTTCAGCCCGTCGGCGAGGGGACAGGACAAATCAAAGTTAAATGTGGTTGACGGCGACAGGTGGTTGGGCTTCATAGGACTGGCTGACCGCTAAAGGTTGGTGTAACGGGCGATTAGGACGACTCAGGTTCATCCAAAAACTACCTTAAGTATGTAAGAACCAAAGGAGTGGGGGAAAGAAAAAAAAAGGTAAGATTGTTAAAAAATGGTGTTTTGGTAGTAAGTGGTTCGGACGATTTAGTTCTCGTGCTCCTTCGTTGGCGGCTATTGGATTTACACGTCGACTCTCCAAGATTTGGGGTTGTACCTCAGTCAAGACGGGATTAGTGGATTAGATAGCGGAGTCGCGAAGCTGTTCTGGTAAGGATGGGGGATCCATTATCGCTGCCATGGCTGCCATGGGCAATCAATAAACAAGATCGACTACGGTTGGTTTAATGGTCCGTGCATGCCGTGTCCCGCAGCAGAAACAGCTAACCTGCAGCAAGCAGCAGAGCAAGTAAAGACGTTATCTTATCAACTAACCTAGGTACATACATAGGTACTTTATCACCCTCTAGCCCGAGACTGCGTGCTTGTATCCAATCTTTATGGTACCTACCTTTTATTGATTGGTTCGAACCAATAACGGTAAACTCATGTAAGCTGAACGGAATATGGCGTTTGAAGACCCATGGACATTTTGCAATGGACAATACTAACAACATGCAAACAGTGGACTGCAATTATGACAATTGCAATAGTTTGTAAGTCCTAACCTACCTACCTAAGGTAGTTTAGTAAAATAGTTAATTGCAATGCCATCTGAACCTAAGCCATTGTGAATTGTACCTAGTATTTAAAAGGTTTAACTACCTTTATAAATTATATAGCAGCAACATATCCTGTATCTTATATACTCCCGTGTGAAGGTGAGATCATTAGGCTTTTCTAGGTATTTACCAATAAAGGAGTATACATGTCCAATTTTTATTTACCTGTTATCATAATTGTAGGCTTAGGTACATAGAATAAGGCTTCCTCATTGATATTTATACTTTTGTAAGCCGTAAGACTGGTCACCGTTATGTAGCAGTTCACTTACACCCAAAGTACCCCACTTAAGGCTGAGCTAGAAGGGGTACTGACGTTGAGTCTACAGCGGTACGGTACTTGCAGCTGCTCCAAATTACAAAACAGCCTTACTTCATGTTTCCATAGCGCAGCTCTGTCTCGACCTCACCTGCATACCTCTTACCTCTTACCTCTTGCATTGGAATAATCCACGACCCGAGCCACAAACACCGTGGCTGCTTTTTATTGCGAAAAAGTCATACTACCTAGTAATTCATCATCGGGTTTTCTTCCTATATGACACATTCTTCCCTACCAGGTAGTTACATAGCTCTGCTCCATATTCTCTAACACTACGCAATATACTCCGACTCCACCTTCGAGAGCTCACATTTCCAGCTCCTCTCGGCTATAGCTAAAGCTGTATTCATCGACGGGTATACCGCGCAAGCACGAACACACAATCATTTAATTCCCGATCGCCACCATGGCCCCGACTCCGGCGAAATACGTTCTCTTGTCGCTACCCCTGAGTACCTTCGACACAGGCGACCAGCAAGAAGCTCTCAACTCTCTCAAGACCACTATCACGCCCGAGAATGGAACCGTCGTGCCTTTCCCCGTCCCCAACTTTAAGATAGGAACCTTGGACGCCTTGATACAGCAAGCTGACGACCTGGGAAAGCTTAATACGGCCTGCGAGGGAGTGGTCAGCAAAGTTGGCGACTCCTTGCGATCCTTATACGAAGGCAACGAGGATAAGGCTGCTGAACAAAAGATGGTTAACGATAGTGTGTAACCCTTGTTCCTTGCAGTCTCGGGCATATTTGGATATTGACATAAGACTTTAGAGCCGACTGATCAGTATCTTCGCACTTTTACTTGGAACAAAGTCCGCTACCGAGCCGACAGGCCTGTAGGCGAAATCGTTGATATCCTCCAAAAGGTACTTCTCCTTTAACACGATTCTTCCCCGTCCCAAACGGGAGCTATGCTAACATGGACTCTTTACGCCGTCAGGAATTGGCTACAATCGACAATGATGTCAAAGGCAAATTCAACCAATACAACCAAATCAAGACGAACCTCGCTTCTCTGCAAAGAAAACAAACGTAATGCGCTCTCTCAAATCCTTTGGTTCCTGGAGCAGATACTGACCCTACACGTTGAATTCAGGGGCAACCTCGCAACCAAGTCTCTCACACCGATAGTCGACCCGTCTCTGCTGGTGCAAGACTCGGAATACCTCGAAACGCACCTCGTCGCTGTCCCCTCCAATCTGAAGAAGGAGTTCCTTAAGAGCTACGAGACCATATCACCCATGGTAGTGCCCCGGTCGTCCGTACAGGTTGCGCAAGACGATGAATTTATCTTGTTCGCCGTCACCACGTTTAAGAAGCACAGTGCCGAGTTCCAACAGAAGTGTCGAGAGCAGAAGTGGACGCCCCGCCAGTACAAACATGTCGAGGGAGGCAAAGAAGCAGAGCAAAGAGAAATAGATCGCGTCACTCGCGAAGAAAAGAAGGTCTGGGGCGAGGCTCTACGATTGGCCCGCACGGGATGGAGTGAAAGTGTTATGATATGGGCGCACATCATGGCCCTCCGCGTCTTCGTAGAGTCGGTGTTGCGCTACGGCTTACCGCTAGAATTCGTATCGGTTCTTGTACTGGTAAGCGCATAGCTCAACCTCCTTCAAATAACTTGGACTCGTACTAACTCAACTATTACAGACAAACGCGAAGTTAGTAAAGAAGGTGAAGACGGCGCTAGACTCGTCGTATTCGTACCTGGGTGGAAGTGCGTTAGGACGAGACAAGCGAGGGAGGGTGACAAAAGATGACGCGGCGTTAACGTCGGAGATCGCGGCGGCGGGCTTGGGGCACGCAGGGGAAGAAAACGAGTATACAGCATACGTATATTACGAGTTCGAAGTATAGACAGCATGCAAGCAGCTAATTTATCAGGTTGGCGTTTTCGCGGGCGGACCCATATCATGACTAGCATTTTCCCGAATAAGGGACTTTGGTTGTCACATGGCAACAATGGGACTATTCTGTATATTTCTTCAGAAGGGTTGATATTTATTGCTCTACTCTACGTGTCTGGCCTCGCTTCTAAATAGCGATTTGCTTCTCACTTCGCGATGAATTGTAGTTCACCCTTTTCATCCTATTCTCTACCCTATTTTCTACTAACCAGCACCTCTCACGAAGCAAGAGCAGCAGTGCCAGAACCTCCCGCGGCATCAGCAGCCGTAGCCGTAACAGTCTTGGTAGGAATCAAATCCTTCTCCTCAAGCCACTTCACGATCTGCACAACGCACTCCTCGACAGAGTTCTCGTGCGTGCGGATGGTAATCTCGGGATTCTCAGGGGCCTCATAGGGGCTACTGATGCCCGTAAACTCCTTGATCTCGCCCGCGCGCGCCTTCTTATACAAGCCCTTGGGATCGCGCTTCTCGGCAACCTCGATGGGCACGTCGACGTACACCTCGACGAAGGGGATGGGGTCGTCGCCCTGGGCGTGCAGGTCGCGCGCGAGCTGGCGGTCGGCGCGGAAGGGCGAGATGAAGGACGTGATGGCGACCTGGGTGCTGTCGGCGAACAGCTTGGCGACCTCGCCGATGCGGCGGATGTTCTCCTGGCGGTCCGCGTCGCTGAAGCCCAGGTTCTTGTTCAGCCCGAAGCGCACGTTGTCCCCATCCAGGCGGTACGCGGCCACGTTCAGGTGCAGCAGGTGCTGCTCGAGCGCGGTGGCCACCGTGGATTTGCCCGAGGCGCTGAGCCCCGTGAACCACAGCGTGAAGCCGCGCTGGCCGCGGAGGGCGATGCGCTCGCTGCGCGAGAGGGAGGGGTGCCAGGTTATGTTGCTGGAGGGGGAGTCAGTCAGCCAGTCAGTCAGTTAGTTAGCGAGTTACATATTTAACTGTTTGTCTTTATTTTCAATTCATTCCCCCCCAGTTGCTGGGAGGGAAGCATATGTATGTTTATCATCCAATTCTGCTCGCCATGTTCAACGGTTCGATTACAGAATATCCCCATGTAGCGCGTATAGAGAACGGCAGGATGCAGATTTAGAAGAATAGGTATATAAAACTGAGGGATGGCGGGGGAGGGGTAAGAAAAACTCGTAAAGAGTTGCACGAGTAAAAAAGAAAAGAGACAAGAAAAAAAAAGAAGCAGGTACTCACGTCGCCATTTCTATCCCAATTCTATAACACGATTCCTAAGCAACGGAAGCTGAAGATCAGATACTACCTAAAGGCTAAAGTGAGATATAAAAAAATATAGGTATACACAAAAATAAATAAGACAGATAAACCCTGAATATGTACTCTCATAACCCAGAAAGAAGTACCTAAAATAATATATGGAAGTTCCCGTCTCAGCTTTCCCAATTCAGGGTTCTGGCCTATGTCGATAACTGTACCTTACTGACGTGCCTTAGCCGCAGCGGGTATTACATAGTTTAGGTACCGTTTAGGATATCGGTAGCCGGATGACGTGCTTCCCATCCGCCACGGAAGTTTTACGATGCCGATTCTATTACCAAAGCATAACGAGAGAGGTGCTTTAGGTAATCAAGGATTCGTCATCCGGCTGCGTAATGTATAAAGAGCACGCCATAATCCTCAACTTTGGCCTATGCATGAATTATCATCGACTAGGTAAGGCAAATCAAACATTTATCTTGGCCTCATCTAATAATATTTCGGACAACAAATGCATCTTCCCTACCACGTGCGAGTACTGTTCGGTAAACACCCCCCAAATTAATGCAATGCGAAACTGTAATATATACGGGCTTGCATATATATAGGGATTTGGTGTATAGGTAGGATAGGGTATTAAATAATTCCTGGACAAATGTCCAGACGGTCCGATCCACTCGGTCTCCGACTCCCGTGTGGTTCGAATCCGTATGGTTCGAGTAGATACCTCGAAAATAAACAAATATCAAGCATTACCAGCTCTCGTTCCAACTCCGTGCCAGGCGTAAAGTCTTGTCTATCCCCATCTAAAAGTCTATTCATCACCGTGTCATCGTCTACCCTTATGCCGTCGGGTACAAGTTCATCATCATCTAAAAAAGCCACGTTAGCTAACTTTGTCTTTAATAAATACGCGTCTCTGGTATATACGAACCGCTGCGTGTTTAGGAGACACGAACAAAGCCGTCGCCTCTGCGAGAACCACCGGAGTCTCGCCTTCGCCCACTAGGGTTTCGATACGGCCCTCGACCCAGGCCTTACGTCCTTCTACCTTGGTCGTCGTAGCTCTGAGCACGACGTACGAATCTGCATGTGCTGGGGCACGGTAGTTGATGTTTAGGTTGGCGGTCAAGCCCACCTTGTGCGGCAATGCGGCAAAGCAGCATCGTGCTAAACCCTCGTCGAGCATGGTCGCGAGGAGCCCGCCGTGCACTATGCCCGGATGGCCGCATAGCTCGTGACCTAGGTACGATATCGAGACGAGTGACTTGCCGCCCGCCTCGACGAAGGCTACCGGGGGTACGACCACCCTACCCGGTCCCATAAGCGTGCCAGCCGTCAGGTTATAGGTCCGGTAAGGGGCCGGGATCTTGAGATGCGGTCTCGACTCGTAGAATTCCTCTTTGGACCGCATCTCCTTAGTCAGCGGGTGATTGTTGATGAACTCCTCGACCTCGCGCTCGTGGTCCGTTTTCGGCTCGAACATGGTCAAGGTCTCCTCGTCCGTGGGCGGGTTGAGGAGATGGTTGACGATGGGCGCTGCCGGTGCTGCTGCCATTGCGATGCCGAGGGTGGTGAAAAATAGACCGATAGCTATAACGGAGACGGCACGACGTAAGAGAGAAGGTTGGGACGATAAGGACGGGTCTTATACGTCTAATGTCAGCCTGGGATCTGGGATGGATATTACTACGGCGTCGATGTCCGGTTAGAGGAATCCTACCTGCGGCTGGAAGTGTGCTGACAAAGCGACTAGACGAAGACGGACTCGGACGCAGGATCTGATTTATAGTCGGATATACGGTAAATTTCTGGCAACGACCCCTAGTAAGGGCGCCGAGTCGCATCCGCGCGGCCAACATGGTTATGATTAGGGATTAACCACCGGGTGGAGACTCGCGAGCCAGCGGGCTGTATCTCCTAACCAATTATATCAGATCCAATGCTAGAACTTTTCTCGTCAACATATCCGTAGCGGCCTTGTTTCGTTAAGCGGCAGGATTCGAAAAAGGCGGGTTTGTTGGTGAGAAACTTGCTTGGCTGTCTGGCTGGATTTCTGGCTGGACTTCTTTGCAGATGCAAATTCCCAACGGATTTCGCTCCAAGCCGCTCCAGTTGTCCGTCAGCCGCTAACTCTAGGAACCACTTTTTGCCCGATAAGGAAAATACCGAGGTAAGCTGTACTATATTAGGTAATCCGGGATAAAGATTTGTCTGATAAGAAGTACATCTTCACATTCTAAAAATGACCTCATGCTAGAACTTACCTAAGCGTCGGCATGAGGGGCAGTATACCTAATACATAAGGCACATCTAGGATCTGCAAGGGACATGAAACCCACCGCCATCATAATGTCCCTTTTTGATAAATAGATTAATTACATAAGAATCTGTTTCAGAGTACCTATTTTTCTGCAACACCTCAGCTATGACGTCTATTAGAAGATGACATGTGTATTGTACATTAGTATGTATAGAAAGATACTTGCTTTATGTAATGTATTCGTATTAGAACACGGCTATATCCGCCTAGCATCAGCCCTCTGACGCAAACGAGCAACAAGGCTTGTGACGTTCGTGACCATGATTATGCGCTGTCTGGCAATCTAGAAATCCATGTACATAGATTGCCCCAGCCTATCACACCACATGTGAGCGATCCCCACGATCTGATGCCGAGTATAAGAATAAGGCATCTAAACTAAACACTTTACTATGTACTATCCTCCTACATTATACGCATCATCAAGCAATACTATACCAACGTAGTCGAGGCCAATTCTATACACCAATTCTATACACCAATATCATGGTAAACAATAGCTCTTCTATACAACATAGGCCCAACATACAAAAATTATCAGTGGCCAAATAAACTGACCCCCTATATAGGCCTCCGCCGAAACAGTTGACCTGGGACCAGCCCATCCCCCCAGGGAGGAATCCCTCAAAGTCTTCAACGAGATCGAATCCGAGCTAAAGAAGACGCTTCTTCACATGAAGCACACATACCTAAGTATGTCTACCTACTCTCACTTTTACCCCCCCTTCCAAAAACACTAACACCCCCCCAGAGCACGAACCCGAATACTTCGCCCCAGTCCAAGCCCTCAGCGACACCGACCTAACGGCCTTCTCGTCCTCCGACCTGGAACAAGTCCGCGTCGGCATATCCCCCTACGGCCTACACCTATTCGGCAAGCAGCGGCTCCCCGCCATGCCCGACTCGGGCCCCGCGTACATCCACTTCCGCGCCTTCGTCGGCGGCGACGGCCACAACGAAGCCGGCGTCGCTACCCTGCACAGCATCCACACCGAGGACGTCGAGGAGCCCGACGGCGGCCATAGGTACCGCGCTATATTTACCAAGGAGGATCCGCTGGAGTGGTTTGACACTTGAAGGGGTTATGGTGGGTGAATGGGGTGGGGTGGGAAGGATTATTGTATGTAACGAAATGAGCGAATGAGGATTACGAATAATGAATTATCACTCGTGGAATTTGCATTGGTTTGAAAATTAAGTACCGGATCGGGTATCTTGGATTTTGAACGGTCCATGTCTAGCTGGGATAAAAATATCGCTTACCATCCGACACCATTAAAACTGTCTATTTGCTGCTTTACAAATCATCGTCATCCTGAGCAAGCAACTCCGCATAGTCATCGGCAGACGCGAAAGTAGGCAAGTTCTTGAGAGCCTTCTTCCTCTTCTTGCGGTCCGACTCTTCTTTCTCCTCTTCTTCCTTGGCCACGGGCGCTTGTTGCGGCTCCGACTCCCCTTCCTCGTCATCATCCTCTGAGTCATCCCAGAACTCGGCTCCGTCTTCGTCTTCGTCTTCTGAACCTTCTCCCTCGTCCATCTCTGCCATCTCCTTCTTAAACTCCTCGTCAGATTCGTCGAGGCTCATCAGATCGTCAAAGCCGGGCTCACTCTCCGAGTCGCCTTCCACTTCTGGTCGAGACGCTACGAGCGCGTTCCAGATTTCGTCTTCCTGTTCCTCTTCGTCCTCTTCGCCATCTCCATCTTTCTTGTTTGCCTTCGATTTCTTGCGCTCAGCTTGTTGGGACTTGCCTATTCGCGTAAAGTATTCGTGGAAGAAGACATCCTCCACGGCGACATCCTCACTCTTCTTGTTCCAGAATTCCGCCGAGTTTAGGGTGCTTCCTGCTCCCTTGGCCGAAGGTTTGCTTGACAGCAAGATGCTTCCTTGACCGCTTGCAGCGACAGGCTGCATAATAGATACACCCTTGGTCGTGTCAGCGGCCTTTGCATTGCGGTAGACGAATTTGTCTAAGAATGCTATGAGCGTGTGGTTAGTTAAATCGGGCTTCTGAGCAGCCTCCTGTCCGTTTATAAGACATGATGCATAGACATCCACGGAAGGGTGAAAATGCCGTAGGAACGGTAGTAGCTCCCAAAGACAACTGCGATGCGCGTTGCTATATTCAGGGTCTCGCTTTCGCCCATCATAAACGCCATCGGCCTTCTTCGATTGAGCTTCTGGCCCATCGGCGACTGCTGCCTCGGTTGGGGCATCCGATGCCACCCCTGGGACCGCTTCGGCTTCATCATGCTCCTCCGGTTCATTTATAAGCGTTTTTAAATCTGGAAACGTTGTGCAAAGATCGATTATAAGATAGATGATACCACAAATGAAGGAAGGTTGGTGCAAATTTAAGACCTGCAACATCCTCTTGACAAACGCTTTCACACGGCGGACGTCTACGTCAGATTTCAAACTTCTATACAAAAGATTCAGGTATAAGGCCTGCTTAGAAGAGGTGATTAGACGCGGGTCTAGTAGCGACTCATACAGAGTCCGGTAGAATCGTTCGGTAGCAAGGTGTCGGGAGGCTGAGAGTTGTTGAATAAGCATAAGAGCCTGGATACTAGTGTTGAAGTTGGAGGAATGCGTAATGCGGAAAAGTGTGTCTAGATGTGACTCGAGTCTGGGACAAGTTAGTATCGCCGTACAAAATGATATACTTTAGATGGTAAGACATACGTAGACTGTTCAGCTTGTGAAAACGGCACAGCTCGATTCACTCCGGTGAGAATTGCAGAGACAAGCTTCTCGGCGGCTTCTCGATCGCTCGGGCTGGCCTGAGTTTTATCCTCAGTCTTCTTCGTTTGCTTTGGGTTCTTCTTCTGCTTGCGTTTTTCCCTCTTGGAGGTATCGGGGTTTCCATCATGCTGACTCAATTCACCGCTCTTGAGCAGAGCAACAAATAGACCAAAGTAAATGTTCAGCAGAGAATCTGCGACTTGGGGTTCTTTGGTGCTTAGAATAGTCTGGTTCAACGTATTAATGGCGTAGTACTTTGCGCGGATTTGCTGTCCGGGTCTAAACAGGATATCTTGTTCGATGCTGCGAATGACTACTTGCTTCATTCCGGGATGGGTATTTAAGAGTTGCAGGAGTAGATAGGAGGCTCTCGAGGAAATCTTACGCTCGCGATCGCCGAGTTTATTTACGAGAAGTCGTAGGAGATTAGATTCCTGTTCAGGCTTGTCTCGCAATAATGCGAATGTTAGGTCGACAGCCTTGGTTCGAGCATATTCAACCTCATCATCGCACCAAACCTCAAGGTTTTGGATAATCTTGAAGTAGGCCTCCTTTAGCCAGTCCTCGAATATCCACGATATAAGGTGTTCCTTGGTGATTTTTCCTGGCAATTTCTGACCAGCAGACCATGTTTTCACGCCATACTTTTGGAGAGTTCCGACGAGACCTAATTGCGAAGAGAAAAGACGTAGCCGTCTATCCGATGGTAAAATCATTCCGGGCCCAAACAAGTCTACCAGAGCAGCGAGAGCAGAGAGGGCCTGCCCACGACTCCTTTTTGCAGAAAGCCCTATCAGATTCTCGAGGGCTTTAATGTTATGTATGGGGGATTCCTGGATAGCTAGAGTCAAGGCGGATACCTTATCAGACATCGTACCTGAAGACATAATGGTAGACATGAACTTGTGAGATGACGATTTAGACAAGGTCTTGTTGTATGTCGTACTATCCTCGTCCAAGACAGATTTGGCATATGCCTTTAACTCGGCTATTGCTGGTGCATAGGCGGCTACATCATCAGAGGCCGGAGTCGGCAGAGATTTTAAACTAACAGCATGCCAGTCAGGACGAAGTTCAAAAATCTTAGAGGTCAGTCAGTTCAGCTTATACGACGACTCCTATACTTATGGAGATGCTTACTAACCGTCTTTCTTTTCGGATCTTGTAGAGGTTTTTCTTCGGCCTCGCCATCTTTACCATCCTCAACTTCGCTTTCGTCTTCGTCGACATCGTCGACATCGTCGACATCTTCAGCATCAGACTCCGGTCTCACATCGTCGAAACCAAGACCAGCAGCAAATTTAGCTAACTCAGCTCGAATATCTTTGTCTGCGCCCTTCTGGCTTTTCGCATTGCTAGGTTCCTCATCCTCGGAATTTACACCCTCTATTAACTTTAGGTCTTCCTCGTCGCCCCCAAGAGCTCTAATTTCATCGAGAAGGGTGCTAGAGCTGACTTTCTCAGAAGCACTAGTTGGTTTTTGAGTCTTCTTTGGGTTGCGATTATTCTTCTTATCGTTGGGCTTTGATACATTCTTCCTCTTATTAGGTGGCGACTGGACAGCATCTCCTATTTGATCCCGTTTCCTCTTGCCCTGGTCTTTCTTATCTGGAGTTTTCTTGGACTCGGCAAGCTTCCTGTCGATTTTGGCTGTTAATTTCGACAGCGCTGTATCGTCGAAAGTCGCCATTTAGATATGCGGGGGCCTTGAACTTGTACGAACTGACTTAGTAGAGCTACCGCCGAAGTGCATGTATTTGTGTTGTCGGGATTGCCTATGCCCGATATTTATCAGCCCCTAGGTTATGGAGAGGCGTTATCCGATTGCGACGAGTAAAAGAAAATTCAAAAACTGTAAGGGAAAAAAAAAGTTGGGAGGGGCGAGGCAGATGTTCCCACTATAGGAATTAGCCAATCGATAAGTCTCGATAGTGAGCTATTATGCAAGGCTGAGGACCCCTGAAGCTTTAAAACCCACTCGCAGGTCTGATCTAACGTAAGTACGTACCTAAGTACCTAATCTTTTAGAAATGGAATCGCATGTTTGGACTCATAAACACCAAGGTCCAATTATCCAATTACACCTAATTAAAATCATTTTCATGAGAGTTTTCATACGCTACTAGGCATCATTTGAGGAGTGTAATAAACTCAATGAATGTGTGCAATAATTAACCATGCCACAGCCAAGATGATGTTCCTATCACGTACTCCAAGGAGAAAATACGTATTTACGCTCCAACGCTTGAGGATTTACACTATACGGCCTTCGAGTACTTTAGCATCATCGAACGATCTACCGGTTTGGATAATGACCCCTTTTAGTATATCATAACATACAAGTTAACATATTGTTAGCTTGAATCCAATATACAAGAAAGTTTCACTCGCCTATCCAAGTTTTGGATACCTACGGGAGGAATAACTCCTACCGAATATGAAGACGCTCATAGCAAGTTAATTCGGGCTGGATACCTTCGTCAAGTAAGAGATTACATCATGAGCTGTCTTCCTTTATTTTCGTGTCTTTCCTAACAACCTGATTCAAAGTCTCATGCAGGGATATTTCACATGCTCCCTCTAGGCCAAAAGGTGCAGGAGAAATTAGAAAGTTTAATAGATAAATATATGTCACAGCTTGGTGAGAACTATACATCTCCCTTTCCTAGTTCTATTCTCGACATGCTTATCTGCATCAAGGCGCTTCTAAGGTCTCCTTGTCATCTATCTCATCCCAAGCACTGTGGCAGCAAACGAATCGGCTAGAAGGCTACGGCCCAGAGGTAAGCCGAAGGAAAAATGCTTCTAAACTCAGATCTAGTGTACTCATTTGATACTTTTTAGCTATTCCGGTTTGCCGACAGGAAAGATGTCCCCTATCTACTTGCGCCAACTCATGAAGAAGAGATAACAACACTTGTCTCGAAAACAATCAAGTCATATAAGAACCTCCCCCTGAGGCTCTATCAAATTGGTAAGCTGCCATAGAGATATATCTAGGTCTTTAGTCTTACCTCGCTAGGTCGTAAATATCGCGACGAAATCCGACCACGGCATGGTATGCTACGGTCAAGAGAGTTTCTCATGAAGGATCTCTACACTTTCGACTACTCTGTCCAGTCGGCACTCTTAACTTATGGACAAGTACGTGCTGCTTATTCCCGACTCTTTGACGAGTTAAAACTTCCATATCTAGTTGCAGAGGCTAGCTCTGGCGACATTGGGGGTGACCTGAGCCACGAGTACCATCTTCCAACCGCGATTGGGGAGGATAACGTGATTAATTGCAATAGTTGCGACTACGTCGCTAATGAGGAGCTCGCTGCCACACGGCTTAGTCTCTCAGAGGATATACCTTCAACTGAATCTGGGGACGTGCTGACTGCTGGCGTTTGGCGTGGTGTTTCTAAAGATAGGATGACTCTTATTAATGTCTGGTACCCTGCTTCCTTCTCGGACGACGACATCAACACATACGCCATCAAATCCATCCTACCAGAATTAGATTCGAGTCTCAATGACTCAACACCATTCTGGTCCTCTACGTCTTCTAAAACTGGACAAGGCCTACGGTTGGTGAATATTATCGACTACAGGCTTGGTTCTCCTTTCACTACCGCACTTAAAACTAATCCAAGTCCCGAATTTCTACTACCCGAAGGCGCCGACCTCGACCTTTCTATCATCACGAGCGACTATATAACCGCGTCGGCAAATGGAGACCTTCTCAACGTTCTTCGCATTCGGGATGGCGATGATTGTCCTCGATGCGAGACCGGGAAGCTCAAGGTCCAGAAAGCGATCGAGCTCGGGCATACATTTCATCTCGGGACACGATACTCGGAGCCTCTTGAAGCTCGTGTACAAGTGCCTTCGCACTTAGTAGAAGGTGATACCTCAACCACTAAAGGTGGAAGCATGACAACTGTACCCATACAGATGGGTTGCCATGGTATAGGGGTGTCTCGCATCATCGGCGCTGTCGCGGACCATCTGGCCGATAGTAAGGGGTTAAATTGGCCGCGTGCCATCGCACCTTTCGAAGTAGTCGTCATCCCAGGTCGTGGCCTAGAGAAAGATAGTGTTATTGTCTCCGAGTATTTAGCGAACTCCCAAGCCTCCCGGCCCTTAGACTTGCTGCTTGACGATCGCTCGGAGTCATTGCCATGGAAAATGCGAGACGCCGACCTAATAGGATACCCGATCGCCGTGATCCTGGGGAAGGGATGGAGTTCAGATAGGCTCTGCGAAGTTCAGTGCAGGAGACTATCCAGCATATCACACGTCCTGCTCGAAGATCTCCCCATGTACATTAAACAACTCCTCGCTCAGCTCTAGGCTATACAGCGAATCTAAACAGGACACAAACATCCATGTCTTTGGTCATTCACAAATCTACAAAGATATTCGTAAACCTGCGCGTTGTAGGGCCGTTAAAAAGACTTGTAGAACGGTCGTATAAGACCTACAAGGATGTTGCGCGGGGTTTAAGACCTTTCGGAACCGCGATAATAACGTGTCTTAGGAAATCATCGTATATCAGGGCGGAATGACTGAAAGTCGGAAGCGCGAAGACGCGGGAATCCCCACACCCGGCCGTCCGGCTCCTCACCCTTCCGTTACGTCTTATTTAATAGTAACGATATAACACAGCACTCGGCTTTTAATGCTTTAGCCTTTAGTAATCCTAGAATCACCTATAGTTATATATCTAACACAATCGCTGGCCTTTTCGCCCATTATCTGGATTATCTGCAGCATTCAACTAAAATATTAGGTGGCTTATAGAATTAGAGATCTCACTCCTTAGGTCACCATGGCTGCTCCGGGGAATAAGTTCTTTATCCAAGAGAAACTCAAGCAAACCGCACCACACCATGAGAGCTTCCAGGCCTTATGGGAGACGAAGTGGAAGCAGCCGGTATGTCGCCTGGCTCAGTTCACGACTCGGTCGGCACATAACACTAATCAGTTAGGATAGTGTAAGATGGGCGTATACCCATTCATGTTTGGGACTACACAAGACTTCCAACCCGTGGTCGATGACATTATCGCGAAAGGGCTAAAGAGACCTTACGATTGGGACGAATACGCGCAGTGCTTCTTTCCAAAAGCAGAGGAGCTCGTGGCCCGCGCAGACGCCGCTAATAATGAAGGGGAATGGGCCAAGGCTTCGGAATTGTACTTGTGCGTTATAACCTGTAACTACCAAAAGATAAATGCCGCGTTGTTCCTGTAAGCTGACCTAGATTTTATTTAGGCGAGGTTCAGCACTCTACCGCATCGCCCGGTTTCCGGCACCCCGTTCCGAGAAACAGCAATACGCCTGGAAAAAAGGCAAGGAGGCCGCTCTTAAGGGGCTAGAGCTATCGCGGCATCCCATGGTAGAAATAGAGATCCCACACGTTCACGCAGCGAACGGTGACGGGCCCATCCTTTATGCTTACTACCATCGCCCGACGGGTTTGTCCAAGTCGCCAACTTGTCCCCTAATCATCATATTCACGGGTCTGGACGGCTACCGGACAGAACTGGCCGTGTGGAAGGACGGTTGGGCGGAAGTAGGCTGTGCTACACTCGTTGTCGAGATCCCCGGCACCGGTGATAACCCCGGCGCGCCATCTGATCCCTCTAGCCCCGACCGAGTCTGGAGCAGCTTGTTCGACTGGGTCGCGCAGCAGGACGACATTGACCAGAGCCGCATCGTCAACTGGGGCTTCAGTACGGGAGGGTACTACTCGATACGTGTGGCGCATACCCATGCCGATAAGTTGAAGGGAGTGGTGGCTCTTGGGGGTGGTGCCCATCATATGTTTGATCCGGAGTGGCTGGATGCGGTTGACGACTTGGAGTATCCTTTCGAGTAAGTCTTTAGAAATATTATTTTTCCTATTATTAGGTAGTCTCCAACCTCGAGTAAACGGGGGAGAAAAGTACTTCTAACTAATGATGTGTCTCCAGCCTCGCCCATACGCTCAGTTACAAGTTCGGATACGCAGATCAAGAGTTTGAAAAATTCAAGAAAGAGGCGCGAGACAAATTCTCTCTGCTAACTACCGGCATACTGGATAAGCCGTGCACACGTCTGCTTCTGGTAAACGGAACCGAAGACGAGATCTTCCCAATTGACGACTATTATCTATGTCTACAACATGGCGGCCCGAAAGAAGCTCGGTAAGTTAACACTCGTTTCTATTCCGCTGCGTTTCGAGAAATTAATCTAATCTCCCGCTCCAGGTTTGTCCCGGGAGTCAAACACATGGGCGAACCACAATCCTTCTCTATTATTCTGCAATGGATCTTTAAGCTGCTCGATATCCAAGGAGATGTGGGGAAATTCCTGTCTACTATCCCATTTAAGCCGAAATATTAGATAGCTATAGCTTGGTATTCCTAGAATATAAGGTAATCAGCATTGTATATAGCACGAGCAAGATCTGTATGGAAATAGAACATATTTGTGATCTTAACCTGGCGTTGCTTGTATATCCCGACTACCAGAGACAAACCACAAAACTATAGGAATAGAATGAAAAATGAAATTGGTACCTATAAGAGGTATTTACTGTTTGTATTACAAACGCGCCTGGTGTATTTAGATACCATAATCTTTAGCACATCTACACATTCGCCCTGATTCACGGGTTAGTACCATGTTTGCTCGTTCTTTGTTCTTCCTCGGTGTAGTATACCCAGAGGTGATCAGCGCGGGGTGGTTGGTTCTGATGCTGTGTTGCCGTGGCTGCAGCCGATTGCGAAAGAGGCTTTAGGTACCTCTCTTTTCTGCATGTCTAGCGTGCTCTTCTCAGCTGTATTTCGACATCCCTAGGAATACGACCTTCCTTAAAAGGTTCACTACCTATACGTACGCAGACAATATAATTGCTGAGAATACAATACAATTTGTCCTGGGCGCTGAGGCATATACCTTCATCGTTTACAATACCTATAGATGGGGGATAAATTCATCGACCCCACCATCGGTAAGGAATTCTGGACTCGTGGGATTCCGAATCTTTAAGAACTTGGCGTTTATGGAATATCACGGATACTGCTCGAGTCATACCTGCAACATATATTAATCTCTCTCCGTCCATTCTGGACCGCTTAGTTTTTAGAGCTACAGGCACCATTACCCTCACGATGGCGGTTTCGGGAATCGTATTGGGCCTGCTAGCAGCGGGCTTCGGCAGTACAGCAGCAGGGCTCACGAGAGCCGATCCCGTGGTGACATTAACGAATGGTAGCTACGAGGGCTTATACCTTCCGGGCTTCGAGCAGGACATCTTCCTCGGTGTACCGTATGCCCAGGACACGGGCGGGCAGAATCGATTCCGCATTCCACAGTCCTTGAACGAGACATGGAGCGGGACACGGGAGGCTAAGGCTTACGGCAATGCTTGCCCGGACTATTATTTATCAGCTGAAGAACTGCATGGTATGAGTGAGAATTGCCTCAGCATCAACATTGTGCGACCGGCCGAGATCCGTGGTAGCAACAATGGTAGCAGTAGCACCCCGCTCCTCCCGGTGATGCTGTGGATCCACGGAGGTGCCTATCAATACGGCGGCAGCGGACAATCCGTGTATAACCTCACATATCTTGTGCAAAAGTCGGTAGAAATCGGCTTGCCTGTTATCGGAGCTAGCATCAACTATAGAAAAGGCGGTTGGGGTAACCTATACTCTGTTGAAATTCAGGTGAGACACAGCCGCCCGCTTTATTTGAGACTCGTGAAGGGCTAATTAAGGGTATAGGGATCTGGTAATACCAACCTAGCACTGCGGGATATGCGCAAAGCGCTAGCTTGGGTACAAGAGAATATTGAAGCCTTCGGAGGGGATGCTTCGTCAGTGACAATATGGGGCCAATCTGCCGGATCATTCGCAGTTGTATGTTCGAGATGAGTATTTTAAGTGAAGGGGACTCTAGAAATAAAGAAGCTGACGCTGTAGAACTGAGTAGGGTCAGCTTTTAATGAGTTATGGCGGACGAACAGATGGCCTCTTCCATCGTTCTATCCAGGAGAGCGGAAGTGCGACGACAGCATGGTGTAATGGGTCGGATTGGTATCAGCCTATTTATGATAACATAGTCGACCAAGCCAACTGTAACTCGGTTCCAGATACACTTGAGTGTTTACGTACCATCGACTACGAGACCCTCTATCCGCTTCTAAACTCGTCAATTATCCCCGGCCCGGGTTTCTACCCTACTGTTGGTGAGTAGAGCAAAAAGTAACTTGCGCAGTCGGTAGCAACAGCTAATCTCGGTTACCAACAGACGGTGATGTGCTCCCCAACTATCCATCAGAACTCTTACGTGCCGGTCGGTTTGCACCCGTGCCACATATTTATGGGACGGTATCAGATGATGGCACCGACAACGCCCCTTTCGGCATTAATACGGACGAGGACTTGCGGGACTTCCTGCTCCATCGCACGGGTTACGGCTTTCCGGATGCGACGGTTGATCATATCCTGGAGCTATACCCGGACGACCCAGCACAGGGAATCCCTTTAAATACGGGATCAGAACGCTTCGCGGATTATGGATGGCAGTATAAGCGGGTTGCGGCCATCGTAGGCGACGTCTTCTACCACGGGCCACGACGTTTCGACACGCAGAACTACGCCCCCTTATCGCCGACGTACGTGTACAGATTCAACACTCGACCCTGGGAAAGCGCACTCGCCAACACCACGGCGATTGGCAACCCCCTTAACGGGAGCGGAGGGCTCGCACCCGCTTATAAGGGCGTAGAGCACTTTAGCGAGGTTCCTTTCGTCTTCGCTAATCCAACGATGCTGGGCCCGTGGCCGGAATATCACAAGCTGAGCGACCAAGTAAGTAGCCAGTGGATACGATTCGCGCATACGGGTAATCCGAATGGCCCGGGATTACCACACTGGCCGCGATACGACGAAGGTAAAGACGGCCTTAATCTAGTTCTGCAGACGGAGGCGCAGGGTGGAACGTATGTAGAAGAGGATACGTACCGGTTGGCTGGACGCGAGTATCTGACGCAGTGGGCGAGGAGGAGGCACGTATAAGAGTCTTCCAATCGAAGGCTCGATTGTAATAACACTCTTACTTAATTCTTGTGATAGGTACAGGCCAGTTTATGGCTAAGATGGTGGTCCTTATTCACGATAATATAAAATCTGATCTGCATTGACTATTCACCTTCAGTATTGGTTATTAGTAGCCCATTGTCGATTATGGTCCATGGATGTCATCGAATAGGCATGACAGCCAGCCACCAGAAAACGAGAAGATATTCGGGTTATAACCTAGAAGACCTACCTGCCAATCGCTTAAGTTTTCGTATAGTACAATATCATATATGTAGTCTACCTACCAATGCAAAACGAGTGTATCTCGGAACCGTGAGATAAGTCGTATGTTATTTGCTTACTGTATACTGAGAACTGACGTGTAGCGCAGGCAACATAGGTAACCTCCATCATTCGTGTAAGCAGGCAGCATAGGCGGTCAATGGTCCACTGTCGTCAATTCTCATAATGAAGTTGGAGTAAAGTTAAATAGGGGGTGTGCTGCCTTAAGGGATGCAAAGTTGTCTTATTAGGTACCTAAGGTACGAAGTAGTCACAAGACTTCGCGACAGGTTCAGGTCCTTGATTGCTATGGTCCCATTATAGCCCCATAATTTTGGACCCCTAGGAACCCGAAGACCCCTGTTCTTTTAGGCTTCAGTCGCGCTAGATCTTCTTTGGCGCGTCTGCTTCCCCACGATAGCGCAACTTGTCTATTGCCAATCCTGCCGGTTTAACGTCATCCCATCCATCCTTGCCTAAAATGGTAACAATACGAGAGCATGTACCTAGAATTACCCTTTACAATTGGCGAGTCTGCCTAATCGCCATGTTCAATCCATAGATCACTGGTATGTCCTCAAGTGCCAGCCAGACACGGTGGCACTTGAGGACATAAAACTAATATAAAACATCCAATGCCGTCTCATTCTATAACTTGATATACCTCACTTCTTTGTTCTTGTTGTGTTTCTCTTATTACCTATTTAGTCACATCTTACTTTGGTCTCTGAGACTATCTTGAGCACTTGGATTTTGAGCTGAGCTCAATCGAGAACAAATGGCAGTTATAGACCTTCCCAAGTTGCCCGTCGCCCACGACGGGCTGGTAAACTACATTACCAACCATCCTGAGACTCCAATCAAAGAGATAATGGAGCCGTACCGCAAATTCGAAGCCAAATTACGTGAAGTATACGCTCAGGAGCGCAACAATCCTGCCTTGGAAGACCCCTATCTTAATGTTCTACCCCTTTTCACTAAAGACACACCAAATATCAAGACCCGTGCTCGTAACCTTCAGACAGAATCACCCAGCGAGAAAGAGAAGTACATTATGTCTCTCCCAGACGACAAGCGGCGCCCAAACGGCTCGCCCGCCGTCGTTACTTCTCTTAAAGAGTTTCGCCGCAACTTCGGCATCTTTTCCGAATCCTCTCTCGCCGAGATGGACTGGAGCAATGTCGTTGCCGCCGGTTCATCCGTAGTTAACTGTCTCCTTCCTGTTCCCGATCGGTATAATAATTCCAAGAGAGCTCTTCGGGAGTATTACCATCAAAAGTTCTGCCCGGCTTCTGACGTCGACTTGTTCTTGTACGGACTCGATGAGCAGCAGGCCATCGAGAAGATCAAGGACATCGAAGCTCGGATTCGCGACGCAATCCTCTCGGAGGTGACGGTCGTGCGAACTAAGAATGCCATCACTATTTGTGAGTTGCTCCTTTCTATATGACCTATGGCCACGATCTAACTCTAAGATAACTAGGCAGTCAATATCCTACTCGCCACATCCAGGTATGATTTCGTGTTTGGTTTAATTTAAACTAACTATCGGTTATTGACATTGCCTTTAGATTGTTCTTCGAGTGTATAAGTCCATCTCCGAGATTCTTACCGGGTTTGATATCGACTGCTCTGGTGCTGCTTATGATGGAGAACAAGTCTATTGCTCTCCACGAGCTCTAGCCTCGTATATCACCCAGATAAACCCCATCGATCTTAGTCGGAGGAGTCCCTCCTACGAGAATCGTCTTTCCAAGTACAGCCACCGAAACTTTGAGGTTTACTGGACAGAACTTGACCGATCTCGGGTCGACCCAACTATCTTCGAGCGGAGCTTCCAGAGGGTCCTTGGACTAGCCCGTCTACTCGTTCTAGAACGACTACCGACCACGAATGCCAGAGACGAGTATATGAAGAAACGCAGACAGGAAAGGGGTCGGCCGGAACTACCTTTCCGCTACCAGCACCGCCTCCGTGGAAATATCAAAGAATTTCACGAAGATGAAGTGGCAGATTGGGTCGACGAGGATGAAGTTGCTAACTACCATACTTTTACCATCCCTTACGGCGAGAAATTCCATGCTAAGAAGATCGAAAAACTTTGCTATACTAAGGATCTGCGTGAGTCAAGGCTCTTTTACTACTATGTTTGAACAGCTTACTCAGTAGTTATTCCTCTCTTCCCATCGTGTCATTTTATTGTGCCTCCGCT